CCTCCTCCTCCTCCTCCTCCTCCTCCTCCTCCTCCTCCTCCTCCTCATCATACAGCACTCCTCGAATTCCCCGCCCTCCTTCTCTTACTCCTCCCCGACCTCCTCCTCAGATTCCTCTTCCTCCTCCTCCTCCTCCTCCTCCTCCTCCTCCTCCTCCTCCTCCTCGTCTCCCTCCTCACTTTCCCTCCCTGTCGCACCCCGGAACGTGTCGGTAGGGCGGGCTGGGCGTTTCGCCTGAGACTGCCTCACCATGTGTGATCCTTGAGCTGAGGGTGTGCAACAGTTTCACAAAGGGGAGGCGGCTGGTGTTCAAAATGTGGCTCTCGCCGTGGCGCCGAGCGCATTCGTCTTAAAAGTTTGGAAGAGTTCCACGGATGGAGGGCAGGCGGTGTTCGAAATGTGGCTCTCGCCTTGGCGCTGCGCGCATTGGTCTTAAACGCTTGACGAGTGCAGGGCGGCTCCTTTCCAAAAAGTGGCTGTCGCGTTAGCGCCGCGCACATTCGTCTTAAGGGTTTACAGCAGTGTCAACGATTATTATGGTTGACGTCCCAGAAATGGTGTCTGGCACGATGTAGGACTGTCAGCGCGCATCACTTACGTTTATTCGCGGTGTTGAAGTCCCAGGAGCGGTGCTCTGGCACGAGTCAGGATCGTCAGGACGCAACAGTCACGTTCATTCGCGGCGTTGAGGTCCCAGGAATGGTGTCCTGGCACGGATCAAGAATGTCAAGCGGTTGACTTCCTATGCGGTACTTCCCTCAGTCAAAATGAACCCTTCTAAGGACCTACGAAGAGGGAACTTGGAGGGAGGGATGTTTACAACATCGTTGATGGGTCCTGGGTTTACACTGGTCCTCCTTGTCCTTCCCTCCATTCCTTCTCCTCTTCCTCATCCTCCTCCATTCCTCCACCTCCTACTCCCCCTCCTCCTCCTCCTCCTCCTCCTCCTCCTCCTCCTCCTCCCCCTCCTCCTCCTACTCCTCCTCCTCCTCAACCTCCTCCTCCTCCTCCTTCTAACACACAGCTCCCGCCTCCCATCCATCCCTCGCCATTAGAAACAACTCCTCTCTGTCGCACCCCGATACTGGTCGGTAGGGCGGACCGTGCGTTTCGTCTGAGACTTCCTCACAATGTATGCTCCTGCAGCTGTAACTCTGCAACAGTTTTACGGATGAAGGGCGACACGATTTCAAGCGGTGGCTCCCGCCTGAGCGTCGCGCACATTCGTCTCAAAAGTTGCAAGGGGCTCCACGGACGGAAGACGGCCCGTTTTCAAAATGTGGCGCTCGCCTTAGCGCCGCGTGCATTCGTCTTGGCAAGAGATCTACGGATGGAGGCCAGGCCGTGTTCAAAATGTGGCTCTCGCTTTGGCGCCGTGCACATTCGTCTTAAAAGCTGCAAGCATTTGACGGATGGAGGGCGGCTCCTTTCGAAAATGTCGCTCGCCTGCGCGCAGCGCACATTCGTCTGTACAGTGTACAGCAGTTTCAAGGATGTTTATCGCTGACGTCCCAACCATGGTGTTTGAGCACGATTTAGGATTGCCAGCACGCGACAGTCACGTTGACTTGCGGTGTCGAAGTCCTGGGAATGGTTGTCCGTCACGAAGTCCCAGGAATGGTGCTTTGGCATGGTTGCAGATCTTCAAACGGTTGTCCTCGAATGGAGCACTTCCCACAGTGAATATACATCTTTGTAAGGACCTCTGAAGAGGGAACTTGGAGGGATGGTTTCTTGCAGCATCGTTGAGAAGTCTTGGGTTTACACTGGTCCCCCTCCTCCTCCTGATCCACCTCCTCCACCTCCACCTCCACCTCCTCCTCCTCCTGCTCCCCCTCCCCCTCCTCCCCCTCATCCTCCTCCTCCTCCTCCTCCTCCTCCTCCTCGTCCATCTCCTCGACATATGAATAATTCCTGCTGGTCGCACTCCCAGCCGTGTCTGGTCGCACTCCTAGACGTGTCTGCAGGGCGGGCCAGGCGCTCCGCCCGAGACCTCCTCACCAAGTATGGCCCTGAAGCTCCAGCCTGGCAGCAGTGCTACGTTGAAGGTTCTACGGATGGAGGGCGACCCGACTTCAGGACGTGGCTCTCGCCCGAGCGGCGCGCACACTCGCCCTCAAAGGGCCCCAGGGAGCTCCTCGCCGCGCGCGTCCGCGGGGGGGGCCGGCGTCGACGCGTCTGCAAGAGGCCCCTCGCCCGCGCCGCTCCTCTCTGCGCCTGTGGCGGCGGGGCCGAGCACGGCTGCGGGTCTCTCCAGAAGCCTGCCGTCGCTCGGACGCCCTCTTTCCGTGCATGTTTCGGCTTCGTGCGTGTTTTTTTGTTGCTCGATGGTCCCGGATGGTCCTCGATGGATCTCGCCGGGGAGAAGTGCACACGCCCGAGCGATGCCGGGGAAGTGTGCGCTCCCGCGACGGGGAGCGCGAGAGGCGGCGGCGTCGGCACGAGGCGCAGCAGGGCGCGCGCAGGCCCACGAGGTGCGGAGGACAGCGACGACGAGGGCACGAGCGCAGGGAGGGGGGGGGAAGGAGCGACGGGGGCGGCAGGGGGAGGGCAAGAGAGGCGCGGGGCCCGGCGTCACGAGTGGAAGGCGGGGCCTCTTCAGAAGGTGGCTCTCGCCTTCGCACCCCGCGCACATTCGTCGTCACAGCTCGCAAGAACCTCACGGATGGAGGGCGAGGCTTCTTACAGAGGTGGCTCTCGCCTGAGCGCCGCGCACACTTCACGGATGGAGGGAGGGCGCGTCCTCTTCAAACTGTGGCTCTCGCCCCGCACCGATTCGTCTTGAAAGTTCGTGACAGTTTTAAGGGTTCTCATGGCTGAGGCCCCAGGAGTGGTGTTCTGGCGCGGTTGAGCAATGTCAGGACGCAACGATAACGTTGATCTGCTGTGTTTAAGTCCCAGTAGGACTCTCAGGGCGCAGCAGCCATGTTGATTCGCGGCGCTGACGACACAGGAATGGTTTTGTTGGCGCGATGGAGGGTTCTCAGACGGTTATCTTCCACAGGGGCAGTTCTCGCTATGAAAACAAACTCTTGTAGGGACCTATGAAGAAGGAACTTGGAGGAAGGGTTTATTGCAACATGGTTGATGCGTCTTGGATTACACTGGTCCTCCTGCTCCTCATCATCATCACCATCATCAACAACAGCCTCCTCCTCGTCCTCCTCATCATCAGCATTATCATCAACATCCGCCTCCTCCTCCTCCTCCTCCTCCCCCTCTTGCTTCTGGCCCACGACTTCGTCCTCCTCCTCCTCCTCATAATCATTATCATCAGCATCATCATCAGCAGCAGCAGCGGCAACAACAACATCCTCCTCATCCGCTTCCTCCTCTTCCTCCTCCTTATCATCAAGACCACCCGCGGTAAACAACACAAATAAACATGCAAAGGTTTTGGGCTGCCAGTGGGTGCGCCTTCCATCTGGTCTGAAACCGTGTGGTGGGCTGTCGGTGGGTGTGCCTTCCAGATTATTCTGGCCGCTTGACGGACATCTGAAAGCACGGAACCGTGATTGAAGACGTTCGCCTCCCCGCAAGGGGTTCGATCGGGTCCGAAATGGGCCTTGGAGTGAGGAGTGGGTGAAAGCCAGCGATTGCTACACTACACAACACCCCCCGTCTGAGGTCACGAGGTTGGAGCACCAACTCATCCATCATAATAAAACTTGATGGTGAAGGGCCCTCCCGCACCCAGGTAGCCCAGCCGATACAATACTCCTCACCCTCATCATCCTCAACATCATCACCATCATTATCACCATCAACATCTCCATCGCCATCGTCATCACCATCACCGTCATCATAATCATCATCATCACCATCATCATTAACATCACCATCATCATCATCATAATCATATGCTGAATCACCACCATCATCACCATCATCATCATCACCATCATCATCACCAACATCACCACCACCACCGTCAACATCAGCACCGCCACCACCACCATCATCATCCTCGTCATCATCATCATCATCATCATCATCATCATCATCATCATCAGCATCATCATCGTCATCATAGTCATCATCATCGTCATCATCATCCTCGTTACCATCATCAGCATCATCATATGCATCGTCATCATCAGCAGCCTCATCATCAGCAACATCATCGAATCACCACCATCATCATAATCATAATCAGCATCACCATCATCACAATCATCACCACCATCACCATCACCATCACCATGACCGTCACCACCCTAACCACCATCATCATCATCATCATCACCATCACCATCACCATCACCACCACCATCATCATCTGCAGCATCATCATCATCATCATCATCATCATCATCATCATCATCATCATCATCCTCATCGACGTAATTATCCGCAGCTTCATCATCTCCACCATCACCATCACCATCATCATCATCATCGTCGTACCTATCAGCAGCTTCATCATCTGCATCGTCATCATCATCAGCAGCAGCATCATCATCAGCAGCCGCATCATCATCAACATCATCTGCATCGCCATCATCAGCAGCAGCAGCATCATCACCATCACCATCACAATCATCATCACCATCATCACCATCACCATCACCATCACCACCATCACCATCATCATCACCATCACCATCACCATCATCATCACCATCATCAGTAACATCATCATCATGATCATCATCATCATCATCATCATCATCATCATCACCATCACCATCACCATCACCATCACCATCACCATCACCACCATCATCACCATCACCATCATCATCATCATCATCATCATCAGCATCAGCATCAGCATCAGCATCAGCATCAGCAGCATCAGTATCATCAGTATCATCAGCATCAGCATCAGCATCAGCATCAGCATCAGCATCATCATCAGCATCAGCACCAGCACCAGCACCAGCACCAGCACCAGCATCATCATCATCATCATCATCATCATCATCATCATCATCATCATCATCATCATCATCATCATCATCGTCCCTCCTCGCTCCTCCCCCTCCTCCCCCATCGTCCCGCAGGGGCGCCATCCTGCGACAAGAACCGGTCGATGGCGCCCACGATCGCCGCCTGCCTCGCGGCCTCCTCCGCCCAGGCGTCGCGCACCTGCGTGGCAGCGCGCGCGCGCTCAGGCCGCCAGGTGGCGAGGGGAAGACGGGGCCCCAGAGGGGGCTTGGCTCGGCTCGGGTGGGCCCCGACGGCAGTCTCAAAACCGAGGCTCCCTCGAGGCCCCCCTCGCAGTCGGAGCCCGACCCTGCAGAGCTCCGCTGCATCGCCTGCCCGCCCGGGCTCTGCACCCGCGGGCGATGGTTGGCCGTCAGGCCGCGCGCTCGGCGCACGACGGCCGGGGCCCTACAGGCGGCGGCCTCGGCGGAGAGGCTCGGCGGGCCGCGGCCGCCGCCGCCGCGCCCGACGAGCGCGGCCTCCGCGCCCTCCCGCCGCCCCCGCCGCCGCTGCCGCCCCCCCGCCGCCCTCCCGCGGCCCCCTGCCAGGGGCCCTATGGCCCCTGCCCGGGCTCGGCGCGCGCGCCCCGAGCGCCCCAGAGAGATCCCGAACCCCCGCGCCCCCAGAGGGGGGGGGGGGGGGGGCCTCCGCGGGCGCCCGCCGCGCCCGGGGCGGCGCGCCCCTGCCGCGCTCCCTGCCTCGCGGAGGAGGAAGGGGGAATAGGGAGAGGCTTCTGCCGCGAGGTCTGGGCGTCGCCATCTCTGCGCACGCCGGGCGTCTGCGCCCGGCCTTCGTCGGGCCCTGGGGCCGTGACGGACCGTGCTGGCTCGAGAGCGGCCGCGGGAAGGGAAGGTCTAGGGCCCCGGTCGTGTTTTCGGCGATGCTCCAGCTTGTTCGCAACGCCACATCCCAGGTTAGGAAAAGGTCTGCTCTGGCGCCGCATGGAAAGCGTTCGCGCACGCGGCGGCCAGATGGCAGCGGCACGTCGCGCAGACAGGCCAGGCTGACGTTCTCACCATTGGACACCTGCGCATGCTGTCAATTCCTGTTCTCTTGCGGCGCGGGCACTGCGGCACCAAATACTACCCGCGTGCAGCGGCAACAGTGAGCAAAGGGGGAGCAGGATGGGACAGGGGCAGCGCAGGCAGAATCAGCCAACACCGGATCGGGAAAGCGGATCGGATCGGAACGTGTGCCGGATCAGGCCGCACCGAAACGGACCCGAGATCGAATCGGATCGGCTGCGCCAAGATGCGCAGCCATGCCGTGCGGGTCGCATGGGATCGTCGGAACATCGAGATCGAATCGGAAAATCGGATCGTTAAGAACCCTGCAGGGGGAGGGGAGGAGGTAGGAGGTTACGAAAAGGATTGGCTAAGAGGAGGTTCGCTCAGGAGGTTAAGTTAAAAAAGGTCAGGTCAGGATAATCCCAGGATAGGAAGAGGCCAGGCTAGGAGGAGGCTAGGTCAGGAAGAGGTTAAGCTTGGAAGAGCCTAGGCTAGGAGGTCAGGTCAGGAGTATGTTCGACCAGGTTCGGGACATGTTGGGCTGGGACGAGGTCAGGTTAGAAGTGGCAGGGCGAGGTCAGCACAGGCAGGCGGGGAAAGACTCGCAGGTCGCTCAACGAGGCCGGGATGGGGGAAAGGCGCCCAACAGAGGGGACCTTTCCTTGACCCATCCGCAGCAGGCTGATGCCAAAGGCCGCAGGCGTTCTCTGGGCGTCCTGCCCGAAGCCGTGGCGTTGGACACCCGAAATGGGTACGGAAAAATGGGTACAATGCCCAACAACAAATGTTGCCCCAAACCAACAGCGGCCGCTGTTGGGCAGGCGGCCCTCTGGCCGCGGCGGCGCGGACAGCGAGTCCTGTTTGGAATGAACAGGAACTGCTGTTGGGCATTGCACCCATTCTTTCCGCGCTCATTTCGTTCGTGCCGATCCTTGACCCATCCGCAGCAGGCTTACATATGCCAGAGGCCGCAGGCGTTCTCTGGGCGCCCCGCCCGAAGCCGTGGCCGACGGCGAGCTGGGGCAGCGAAGCCCCGGCACGGCCGGGACAGGAAGGGGCCCCGGGACACACAAACGAATAGACACAACTAACAGGATTCCCTATATTTTCCCCTAAATTCCCATATCCCCCCCAAAAAATTCGCAGATTCCCCCCCAAATTCCCATATTTTCCTATATTTCCCCCCAAATTCCCAAATTCCCTGGTTTTTTGGTGTCTTCACCCCCAAATTCCCATATGTTCCCATATTTTCTGGGGGGATTGACGATGAACTGTGTCTGTGCGTTTCTTGCCCTCCCGAGCAGAGAACGCGGGCCGCTGCCGAGGAGCCGCGGGGCGCTCCCCCCCCCCCCCCCTCCAGTGCTGGGGCGGTGCTCAATCCCTCGCGCAGGGCTGCTGCGGCAGCTGCCCGAGCTCACCCCAGGGCCGCGGGGCGCGAGTGACGAGCACCCACCGGCGGGGGCACGCCTCGGGACCTCCTCCTCCTCCAACTCCTCTCCTCCTCCCCTCCTCCTCCTCCTCCTCCTCTCTCCTCCTCCTCCTCCTCCTCCTCCTCCTCCTCCTCCTCCTCTCTCCTCCTCTACTCCTCCTCCTCCTCCTCCCCTCCTCCTCCTCCTCCTCTCCTCCTCCTCCTCCTCCTCCTCCTCCTCTTCCTCCTCCTCCTCCTCCTCCTCCTTCCCCTTCCTCCTCCTCCTCCTCCTCCTCTCTTCCTCCTCCTCCTCCTCCTCCTCCCTCCTCCTCCTCCTCCTCCTCCTCCAACTCCTCCTCCTCCTCCTCCTCCTCCTCCTCTCCTCCTCCTCCTCCTCCTCCTCCTCCTCCTCCTCCTCCTCCTCCTCCCACGGGAGCCGCACCGGCCGAGGCGGGCGCGACTGGGACGGAGGCCGCGGCGCACTTGCGGAGAGGAGCGGCGCCACCTCAGAAGCGCAGCCTTCGGGGATCGAGGGCCCCAGCGTTGGAGGTCGAGCCTCCGATCTGGACCGGAAGACCCTCGAGAGCGGGAAAGCAGCTAGGGTTGAGGTCAAGGCTTCATGTTGGAGGTGATCGATCCTCTGGGGAGTGTGTTCCCCGTCCACCACCACCCCCTCAACCGCGGCGGCCAACCCCCAGGCCCAAAGAGGCCCAACCTCCGCCGGTCCGAGGGTTGGTCGCCGCGTAAATACTTGCATCCATCCCATCTCGAGCGGCAGATCGGCTCAACCGACAAGGCGGGGCCATCCCGAAGATCACAAAATCACTGCCGCGGCTCCGTTTTGCGTCGAGGGACACAGGAGGAAGGAGCCAGGGGCAAGAACGAAACTGCCAAGACCAGGCGGGTGAGGCCTTGGCCTCGGGAATCTGCCTCCCCTGGGAATCATGCAGTGCGAAACACCTGAAAGTCACGAGGCGGCGGGTGGAGAAAGACAGGGCCCTTGAAGTCGGAGCCGGCGGGCTGACCGGCGTGCTCACGTGGTGTCAGTGCAGTGGGGAAGGGAGGAGGGAGCAGAGACGTCAGGCAGGCAGAAGGACGTCCGTTCACCCCTTGCAGGCAGCGTCGGGGCTCGATGCCCACAGGTCGGCGTGTGCGCAGCTCCGCTGAACAAATCCCCACGTGAGGCTGCATGGGGGGGGCACCGAAAGGAGCGGCAAGCCCTGTGCCGGACGAGCCAGGACTCGACGCAGCAGCGCAGCAGCAGGGGTACGGTTGTGGATGCCACGACGATGGACACCCTAACAGTCCTATCATTGAATTTAAAGAATTTAAAATGTGTTTAAAATGTAGGGAAAATGTTCCAAACATATTGAAACCATGTTTTTCACATGTTTAAAAAACATGTTTAACACATGTTTCAGACATCTGAAAATTATTTGGCAACATGCTTCCTCTCCATTGATCGTCCTCCACAAGGGTACGGGACCAGACTGGCGAGGGACAGGGGTCGCTGGCACCGCCGTCCCTGTCCCCACCACGGCTGGAAAGGGCGGCGACCGAGAAGGAGAAGGATGACGCGACGCCCAAAGCTGCGTGAGCAGTGGAGCCCTGGCCACCCCTACTCGAGGAGGGGCCCCCCGAGGAAGGCCACGGCCAAAAATTTGTCGTGGGGGTGCACGCCGCGGGAGCTCCCAGCAGTGAAAGCGGGTGGAGACGCAGGCGCAAGGGACAGGGGCAGGCCCTGACTCGGACAGGGACAGGGACAGGGACAGGGGCAGGGACAGGGACAGGGACAGGGGGCAGGGGCAGCGCAGGGACAGGGACAGGGCAGGGGACAGGGACAGGGACAGGGACAGGGGCAGGGACAGGGACAGGGACAAGGGACAGGGGCAGGTGGATCCGCCGTGACATGTCCAAACGAAGTTGAAAACAATCAAGGCAAGAGCAAACAACGATGGTAAGGGCGAATCTCGAAATCTGTGAAGGCCGACAACAAAATCGCAGGCACTGCCTAAAGTGAGCTTTCGCAATGGGCACCGACGAAATCAATGAAGATTTTCTATTTTGAATTCAGACCCCGCCCGGGCCGGCCCACTTCCAGTGATTAAAGCTTCCCGGCGCTTTTGGGCGGTTTCGCAAGTAGGACGGAAACTCCTGCCCTACTTCTCCAGCTCCTGTGATGCCAGTTTCAGCCCGACTCTGCCGTCGCTCATTCCGCCGTAATTTTGCGGGGAACTAGCCGTCCCACCGTTCGGAGGCGGAATGCTCCGCCCTACGTCTTTTCGCACCGTGCCGAAGTCCCACGGGCAGTCCGGGGGTTCCACGTGGTCGCGGCGGCCCCCCGCAGCCCCGCGTGGCGGACGAGCACCCGCGAGCCCCTGGAAGCTCCGACGAGAGCCTCCGACACCTCCACGACCCCACCGGAGCGGCCTCCGGGCACCTCTCGAAGACCACCGAGGGCCTCGGCTGGGCACCGCCGAAGGCCGCCAGAGGCCCCCGAAGACCGCCGGAGAGCCCCCCGCAGAAACTCTCGGAAGCCTCCGAGAGCCGCGGCCGCGGCCGCCGCCGCCGCCGCCGCCGTCGTGGGCGGCCTCGAAGGCCGCCGCAGTCGTGGGCGGCCTCGAAGGCCGCCGCCGCAGCCGTCGTCGTGTGTACAGTCGGGGCGCTGACCCAAGGAACGATCAATAAGGGACGAGGTCCCTTGCTTCCTTAAGCTTAACTTCGGTTTCAGATCGACAAGCAAAGATCAACCTGAGGCAAGCAAGAAAACAACTGAGGAACACGGAGAGCCCCTCCCAAACGGAAAGGGCTCCTCCTGCAGCGCCCCGGCTGGAGCTTCGGCTGGTGTGGAGCAAGTGGGCCGCTGGCGGAGGCGGGCCCACCCCGAGGCCTGCCCCCAGGGCCAGCCTCTCATCCCGGGGCGTCTTCTGGCGGCCACCGGGGCCCGTGGAAAGGGCCCCGCATCCCTCCGCGAAACTTCACGCAGGTTTTTGTCCCGCGCCGCGTCGGCGCCCCCCAAACCCCCAAACTTCAATGCCGATGCCGAAACACGCGACTTGACTTTTGTCTGTCGGCGTCCGCTGACCGCGACGCGTGCGCAACTGAACATTGAATTTGGGGGCGCGGGGGTGGCGGGAAAACTTGCGTTAGGTTTCGCGGAGGGTTGCAGGAGCCCGAAAACGGCGAGGAAAAGCTCGGGACCCGTGTCCCTTCTTTTACTAAACCTCAAAGATGTGCTGCGCAATTTCCTTCTGGACGTGATGTCCCGGGCTTGGGTGACGTTGCGTGCCAGGCACGTGTTGGCGCCCCCCCTCCACTGTGGGCCATCGTGGCACTTCCGAGTCGCACCCGCTCGGACCGCGCGTCGCCCTGCTTCGGCACTGTAGGGGCGACATTTTGAGGGGGCGAGTGGGGGCGGCACTGCAGGAGGCCGCCAGCCACTCCCGATGCCGCAACCGCCGAAGATCGCAGGGCCCGCCTGCTCCCGTGGCGGCTCGGAGGCTGCAGCCGCCGCTGCCGCCGCCGTGGGCGGCTCGGAGGCGGCGAGGCGGCGAGGAGGCCGCGGCCGCCCGCCGCCGCCCGCCGCCGTGGGCCGTCTCGGACACGCGCGAGAGCGAGCCCCGGGCAGGAGCGAGGCGTCCCTCCTTACAACCGAGAGAGAAAAACAAAACAAAGAAGAAGCTGTTCCTCGGTTTGGCTCTTGTCCTCGGTTGAGCTTCATGCACTTTCCCCGGTCTGGGTTTTTCATCGGCTTGGGTTTCTCCTCGGTTCAGGTTTCTTCCTCGTCTTGTGTTCGGCTTACTCCTATAACCGAGAACATATAACCAGCATGAGTGAGACGTCCCTCCTAGAACCGAGGAAAAAGAAAAAGACTAAACAAAGAAACGACAAATCTGAAGCTGTTCCTCGGTTTGGGTTTTGTCCTCGGTTGAGCTTCATGCATTCTCCTGGGTCTGGGTTTTTCATCGGTCTGGGTTTCTCCTCGGTTCCGGTTTCTTCCTCGTTTCGTGTTCGGCTTACTCGGTCAAGAAGGAGGAGTCCGGGGCAAGAGTGGCCTTTGGTGCACGGCTTTCGAGGGGCGCAGGGGGGCCAAAGCCAGGCGCTCCAGCTGCTGCTGCCGCACCGGAGGCCCGGGTGGGCCCGCACCGAAGGCCACGCCGGCGGAGGGTCCCTCTCCGACGTGCACACCCAGACCTCCGCGCGACGTCCTCGGAGACCTAGATCTCCGGGGACGTCGCGCGGAGGACCGGGGACCGGTGCTTCGTCACGGTCCTGGGGCCCAACGAGGGCCCCCAGGCGCCGAAAACGATGGAAAACCTCCGTGCAACCCCGGACACCCAGCCGCTCCAACTTTTCCGATGCGCGGGCCCCGGAGGCCTGGACCACTTCCCTGGGGCCAGCTCTTCGTCCCGAGCCGCTCTTTCTGACGGTCCCGAGGCGCGGCGAGGGCCCCCAGAGGCCAAGCACGGCCCCAAACCCGCCGCCCCATGCCTTGCTTTTGCGGAGCGTGGTTCCTGCCGCTGGCGCAGGACGACACCTGCCTCGACGCCGACGGACAAAAAGCTGCTGTTGAGCGTCGGATCTCGGGGACACGCTGGAGGCCCAGGCGGCCGAGCCGTCCTGGGCAGCCCGACGCTCGGACCCAACAGGAAAGGGGTGGTGTCATAGGTTTGGAGCAGCTGCGCTGCCATGCGGAGATCCTAACTTCAGCCTTGTGTCCTCTCGGCGCTTTCGCTTTCTCGCTTCGTCGCATTTCGTGACTAACTTGTCGGGCCCGAAGCTCGCCGTCTTCTGAGTTTCGCTTTCACGTGTCGCGAGGACAGAACTGCCAATGCACTGCGCCAGAGAGCGTTGGACTATGCACTGTCTTGCCACCAACGCAGTGCACGCGAACATCCAGCAGGCTGCATTTGCGCACCCCCTCTTCGCTGGACCCCCCTTTTTGGTCAACCGGAGCCGCAGAGTCGGGGGCGGCAAAGAGGGGGGCGTCCAAGAGGGGAGAGTGCAGATCATGGCCGGCGGCATGTGCGCGGCCAGGGGGGGCGGCCGGGGACGTGTTGAAATAAGAAGAGGCGCCATGAGATCTGAGGAGATATCATGGCCCACGCCATGATATCCCCCCCCCCTCTTTCTCCGTCTTTCAGGAGGAGGCGGAGGAGGAGGGGGAGGAGGAGGAGGAGGAGGAGGAGGTGAGAGGAGGAGGAGGAGGAGGAGGAGGAGGAGGAGGAGGAGGAGGAAAGGAGGAGGAGGAGGAGGAGGAGGAGGCGGAGAAGGAGGAGGAGGAGGAGGTCGTCACCCCCCTCTCTGCCGCCCCCGGACAGAGGGCAGCTGGAGCGGCCCGCCCGGGCACCGGGCGGCGCAGGCCCTCGCCGGCGCCGCCCGCGCGCATCTCGGGCAGCATGAGCGCCGCGGCCGCGCCGGCGGTGGCGGCGGGGTCGTCGCCTGGCGCGCCCCGGGCGCAGCCGGCGCTGCCTCCCCGAGATCCCAGAGGTCCGACGCTCCTAAGCAAATTGGAGACGCAGGCTTTTGCCCCGTCGTTCGGCCTCCGGGGGCCCTCGCCAGCCGTCAGGAAACGGCGCAGGAGGGAAGAAGGGCCCCCGGGAAGTGGTCCAGAACTCTGGAGCCCAAGCGTCGAAAAAATTGGAGCGGATGTCTGGGATTGCAGTTTTTTCAGACCGGGCGTTTCTGCGCGGACGCGGGCCCTGGGGCCATCACGGAGCGATCTGGCTCGGAAAATACGGCACGAGGATGAGGCCCGGGGCTCTGGCCAGGATTTTTCGCGATGCAACTTTCGCAACGTCGGAACTCGGGGAACCACCCCGCCTTTCGGCCAGGCCGCGGTCCTCCCTCCCTCCCTCTCCCTCCCTCCCTCTCCCTCCATCCCTCTCCCTCCTACCTCCCTCCCTCCCTCCATCCCTCGCTCCCTCCATCCCCCTCTTTCCCTGCATCCATCCCTCCCTCCCTGCCTCCCTCCCTCCCTCCCCAGACATGCGACGTTCTGATTTTGTGAATGTGACCCGTTTGTACCGAGCCGTCGTCTTCACGAACCCCAAGCCCGGCGAGGGCCCCCCGAGGAAGAAAATGCACCAACACCTCCCGCCGTGATATCTTCACGACGCGAGCATGTCTGGCTCCTCCTCCTCCTCCTCCTCCTCCTCCTCCTCCTCCTCCTCCTCCTCCTCCTCCCCTCCTCCCTCCTCCCCTCCTCCTCCCCCGACGGCCCCTCCCTCCCTCCCTCCCTCCCTCCCTCCCCCCTCGGGCGGCGCCGAGGTCGGGCAGCAGGGGCAGCAGGTGCCGGCCAGGGACCACCCGCAGGTCCAGCTCCGCGCGCCTGCGCGCGTGAGGCAGCCGCGCTCCGCCCCGCCATCCCCCCAGGAGGGGATCGAGCAAAAGCCTCCACTCCCCCTGGCGCCCAAGGCATCAGCCAAAAACAAGGCAGCGTCAGCGCACTGAAGACATGAAGACGGAAGGTTCTTCGTCGTCTTCGGGCCTCTGGGGGCAGGCCCCGGGGCCGTCAGAAGAGTCCGGGGCGACAGTCTGGTCCCCGGGAAGTGGCCCCAAGCTCCAGCGGACCCGTGCTGAAAAAAAAAGTCAGCGGTCTGGGACTATCGAGGCCGAGCCGACGCTCCAGACGGGGGAAATCGATCCCCCTCCCCCCTCCCCTCCCCCGATTCGAATCGCTCGAAGCCTCCTCCTCCTCCTCCTCCTCCTCCTCCTCCTCCTCCTCGTCCTCCTCGTCCTCCTCCTCCAACTCCTCCTCCAACTCCTCCTCCTCCTCCTCCTCCTCCTCCTCCTCCTCCTCCTCCTCCGCCTTTTTCCTCCTCTCTCCCCCCTCCTCCTCCTCCTCTCTCCTCCTCCTCCTCCTCCTCCTCCTCCTCCTCCTCCTCCTCCTCCTCCTCTTCCTGATGCCCCTCCCTGCTCCTCCAGGAGGATCGGCAGCATCCGCCCTGGAGCCGAGCCCGTCACTCGAGAGGGAAGGGCCTCCATGATGGGTACAACGCCTCCCGAATGGAGGGGCACGTCGGCACGTCGGCACTGGAAGAATCACGACGTCGGAGGTCTAGGTCCAGAATGGGCCCTAGCTTCTCGCCGCCTGCTCCTCCTCCTCCTCCTCC